TTTTTTAAAGGACTCCCGCTTGCGTTTAAGCTGTGAAATGAATTACTGATGCTTAATCACCGTACAGATCTGTATTCAAAACCTGACTGAATGAAAAAATATATCCCAACTTATTAGAAAGGTAGAACAATACAATGCAGCGCAGGTAGTTAATAAGTAAAGCATCTGCAAAGACTGTATTTTGAATCAAGGGTCCTACCAATAGTATCTATAACTAATAAAAAAAACATGTGGAAACATGACATCTACATGATGTCATATCTTTGGACATAATGAACAAGAAGGCAACCCTTTCCACACACACAGAGGGAAGCAGCTGCCACATGAATTGTTCTGCAGCAGCCATATTTAGACCAGCTAGTCCACTGTCATATATAATCAGGCAAATCTTCTTCTGCTTTCCTAAGTAATGTTCATCATTTTGTTGACACTCATTAAGTAACTCTGGGTCACATCATTCAACCATATACTTACTGCTACATGCACAGAGTCCAACAGTAAGTTATTTTGGGGAGCAATATGAAAGAGGCAGAAACTCAATGTTTCAAACCAAAAAAAGCTGTTTATATAAAAAATACTTCTTGCTTCACATTCAACAACAGAATGACTCCAAACTACTTGACAGTATACACAGAAGTCCAGAAATACAATTAACTAATGCAGAGCTAACGTACACTAACAGAAAAGTCACTGCTACTGAACAAAGTGCACGGGTTGCCTGAAAACTGGAGCTCACCTTTAGTAAACACACTGTCATAGAAGTGCCAGATGTTGTTTGCAGCCTACCACAACAAAGTAGTCCTCTGTGCATCGTGGCTCAGAACAAATCATTATATCCGAGTGACTGCAGTTCTATCATGGCCTATCTGTAAAGCTGTCACCTTCTCCACCACTCCTTTGTGTTCCTGTCACTGCTTGTCCATCACTTGCAGAACATTAGAGTTTATCACTTAAGGGTTAAAAATTACCTTTTCATACCTCCTGAACAGTTTTCTCACTGACACACAGACCAGCACAGACTATTTAGGTCGTTTACAAGAATGAGAAGGAAAAAAAAAAAAAAAAAAAAAGACGTAGGAATACCTTAATGAGATTTACTTAACAATGGCAGCGTGGCTCTAAGCTAGCTCCAGTCAGCCGAGTTTAAAACCAGCTGCCGTAGAACTTCAACAAGAACTTCAACACAACTAAAATAAGAGCACTGATTACTCTCCTACTCGAGCAGGCTGCCAAATCTAACACTGTAGGTGTGCTTACCAGTTGCAACTTCCCCCCAGCACGACACGTGTGTCACAGCACACCTGCGACTGCGGATACGCAGGAAGCACACGGCAGAAATATCTTCCACAGACACAGGTATACAAGGGAACCGCGCATTTGATTCGGACTTCGATTCTGAAGTCGCCCTTCAACTTTTGGGGAGTTTTACCTGAAAACCCTCAGCAAAGTCACTCACGGCGGGATAAACGCAAGCTTCGACAGCATTTCTACGAAGGTTAACCCCGGCCCGGCCGTTAGGCACGACGCCTGTACCCTCCCCCCCTCCACCCCCAACGGCCGTGCCGGGGGAGTGGCCGCGCCAACGGCCGCGGCACGCGCTCACCATCTCCTCGTGGCCGGGCCCATCGGGCTGCGCGCCGCCGCCATAGGGGCCGGGGCTGGCCCGCCCTTCGGGGGTCTTTCGCTCGCTCGCGCCCTTCCCGCCGCGGCGGGCCGCTCGCCGCCCCCACAGGTAAACAGCGCCCGCGCCCAGCAGGATGGGCGCCCCCAGCACCAACGCCAGCTGCCAGCGGGACAGACCCGTGCCGGAGCCGCCGCCACCCGGCGCCTCCACGGGCTTCGAGGCGGCCATGACTCGCTCACACCGCCGCCTGTAGGAGGGGAGGGACGGGGTCACCGGACACGCGGGGAGGCCGGGAGAGCGTGGAGCAGGAGGGCACTTCCTGTCGATCTGGCCCGCAGCGCCGCCTGCCGGCTTGGAGGACCGCAGATGCTGGGCAGCGCGGTCGTAGAACCGCAGAATCGTAGAATGGTATGGGTTGGAAGGGACCTTGAAGATGATCTAGTTCCAACCCCCTGCTATAGGCAGGGACACCTCACTCTAGACCAGGTAACCGCGGCCGTGTAACCGCTTCTTTTTAAAGTTATTGATTGAATCTGTCATGGAAATCATTAAATATGCAATACTGGAACTGTGTATCTGTTGTGTATCCATGTGTCTGTGTCAACTCAGCAAGCTTATCGATAGGAAGGGAAAGCTGACTTTCCCATCTCCACTTACCTCTGCAGAACTCAGCTCATTATATGGAGAAGCTGCCCCTGGTCCTGTGTCATGCTCGGGTAGTGCTTGTCATTGCATGAGTAAAAATTTCCTAGCAGGTGGGAAGGAAAATGAATAGAATTGAAGACATAGAATCAGAATCATAGGATCATAGAATTTCTCAGGTTGGAAAAGACCTTAAAGATCATCGAGTCCAACCACAACCTAACCATACTAACCTAACTCTAACAACCCTCCACCAAATCATGTCCCTGAGCACCACATCCAAATAGATTTTAAACACATCAAGGGATGGTGACTCAACCACCTCCCTGGAGAGTCTATTCCCTTTCTGTAAAGAAGTTTTTCTTGATATCCAACCTAAACCTCCCCTGGCACAACTTGAGGCCATTTCCCCTCATCCTGTCACCTGTCACCATTGAGAAGAGCCAGCCCTGCTCTTGCTGCAATCACCTTTCAGATATTTGAAGAGAGCAATAAGCACATGTAGCACTATGAAGGAAGAAAAAAAGTGCTGAAAACAAAAACAATGGCATGGTTGTGAGGCAAACACCTCAGAAGCCCTGTTAAATGTTTTTCAAAGTGAGTTTGGGTTTGCCCTGAGTGCTGATGACATGAGCACCAGGACATCCTGGCCTCCTATTTGCTACAGGGTTTTTTTCATTCAGCTGAAGCTGTGGCTCCTTTTTTATTTCCCACTCTTCCCATCTCTCATGGAGCCCTGACAATTTGCTTGGTGTGATCTGCTGTCCTGCTGGATGCTCTGTATGTCTTGGTGCTTGGTACTAAACAGCTCTTTCCATGTGTGAATTATCACAATTTGCCTAAGTATATTTTGCCAAAACTATGGGATTGTCTCATTTTTCCATCACCTGTTTCAGCACAGCAGAAGCACTTCCCAATTTATGTGACAGAATAGAAGGACTCTACGCCATACAGTACAAGTGGCATATCTACAGGCTGATAGTTTCCTATCAGGATGGTCTGAATTTCTGCCACATGTTGTCTCTAATGACCCAGGGTAGTCCTTTGCATATACCTTTCCTGTAGAGGTATTGCTAGCCTCAGGGTGTGCAGACAAATCTAGGCTCTCAGAATATGGTCTGGAGTACTCTTCTCTACTTGGACAATCAGCCTACATGTTCTTTTTACTGTATTTTTACTGTGCAATTTTGTAGGCATTCTTTTCACCCCTGTCCCTTCACACTTTCACCAAGAACACATCCTGCTGCAGGTTTGCTTGTGACTTTAAGTTCTGATGTGCAACATCCAAGGATATTGTGTGTGTATATCCACGTGCTACAGGTTTCTGTGCTACACATGGTCTCATTTTGCATTGACAAAGCAAAACTCACGTAGGTATCTATTACCAATCAGTTCCTTCACCTGTATTATTCAGAATGAAGAGTCCTACATCTGAGTTATGGTACTGAGAGACCTTAAGCCTCACATCTACACCCACTTGAATGAAACTAGAGTTTTGCTACTACATCCATATACTGCTAAATAGATTAGAGACAAAGGGCAAGGTTTAATGCTGTATCACTGATTGTACGTAATGCTAAACGCTAGTAAGCTCTTCGGTATACTTCTGGACAGTGCTGACTAATATCTCCAAGACAATACCAAGGCATCAGGAGAACACTTGTCTACCTAGCACACACCAATGCTTCCAATAGGAAGTTAGATTTGTGTATTTTCTCCTATGCAGTTTTCCATAGTTACCCCAAGAGGCTCCACATCCTCTAGACACTCCATTTTCTTCATCTGTGTTACAAGGCATACAACATTGTAACATACTTCACTTTCATGTTTTACAAACAACATTTTAATGTGCTACATCAGAGTTTTCCAGTTACATCAGCTATTTTGAAATTTAAAATAAAAACCACCAATATTATAACAAGATACTGGCAGCACAAAAATGTAGTGTAGAACAAATGAGTTCAGTCTAGCCACTTGGTCTCAGGAGTGAGGAACAGTCCCCTGCTCTGTTCTGTTTTACGGTGTAGACACGGTCAATAGAGCCTACACCCAGTGCTTGGTTAGGAGGTTTGAGGTCAGACTCATTCCTACTCTGTGTTCAGTGTGCTCAAGCCAGGCCCATCATAAATCTGATACAGCAGATGAAATGACTTTGGTGAAAAGCAGATGATGCACACTCATGCATCATGTGATGACCCAAAAATGAACAATTTTCTCAGGAGAGCCTTCGTTCCGGAGAGACCATATTTCCTGGACACCAAAAGGAAGCACAGAAACAGCAAAGATCATCAGGGAGGGCAGCATGGAGAGGGCTATTTGTCCTGCCTTCCACAAAGTCAGTTAGGCCTCTGCAGGCAGATGTGCCAGTTTCTGACCACTGTCAATATGTCAATTCTGCTTCTCAAAATCACAAGCCTGCTTTGGGTTAGAGTACACGCCTTCCAGGCATGTTACTGTGGGCAATTCTCCATTGGCATTGACAGCTGATGCGCTCAACTGCAATGTATATGGAGTAGAGAACATATTTCCCTTCCTATCAGCTCCCTGCGGCACTGTCATGTTGAACATCTCTGCAATGGAAAGATTAAAAGAAACCCTGTTGAAAATAGATGAGAAAGGATTGATTTTATGTTTAGACAGTGCCTAGGGTTGCAGTGGGTTGGGCTTTGGGGGATGAAGTGCAGAAAGAGTGGCTGAAACTGCATCTCCTCTTCCTCTTGTTGACAGAACAGTGTGAGGCTATTGGCTTACTGGGAGCCTTCAGTACTGCTTTTCCTTGTCTGGCTGGGAGACTGCTGCAAGTTTGGAGTGTCTGTACATGGAATATGAAGAGGATGATGATATTTCCTTTGCAAGATGGATGAGCAGTTTCTGGGGCCACAGCTTGATTGATGAGAATGAGAAAGAGAGTAGAGGCCACAAGAAACGTCAAACACGATCCTTTAGTGAAAGGAGAGCCTCCCTTCCGGTAAGAGTTGTGTGCAGTTTTCTTTGTGCATGTGTGTGTGGCTTATGTATAATCTTCAGTGCGAACATCCCAAAAGTTAACCCTAGATATCCATTGGGATGAGAATGCCTCACTTACCTTGTCAACTAGGTTCAGTTCCTACTGGCAGAAGTTGCTTCTCAAACTCAGCTCCCTCCAGAAGCCTCAGAGGCCTTTGGGATAGAGGAAGATGAGCAAACTTCAACATGAGGAAAGATGGGACCAAAAATGGAACAAGAAGGCTGCAATAACTGCTGGATTCCTAGCTATGCATTATGATTTTCTGTCTGGTAAGCATGACCTGACAGAGATATAAACACTTCAGAAATCTGGTGTACATAAACTTGTCTTCAATGAGTATGTTCTCACATGTAAAACATAAGCCTATATACATTCATTGGATTTTGACCTAATTCTACAACTACTCTTCTCAAGGAAGTTGTGTGCTTTACTCTCTGGGATTTAGCTGCTTGCTGGTGTAACTTTGAATTTAAGCTAGAGGATATGGTCCCTCCTTGTTTAAAGTGTCTGAACCCGAAAAGACATAACTAAGCTTATTATATTATGAAGTGAGTTGTTAAGGGAGAAGCAGCTTCTTTTTTCCTAAACCATCAGAACAGTGGGGAAAGGAACAGGGTTCAAATGCTGAAGCAGTTTTTTAAGGAAGCTGACAACTAATTAATAATCAAAATGCAAAAAAAGCAGATATTGCCAGTCCTTAAAAAAAAAGCATAGGTACCTCAAACCTGTCTCTTTTTTTTCCAGATGCATCAGTTGGCTTCCCTAAGTAATTATGTTTACTCACAAATAATTTTTCAGTTATATCCCTAAATCATAATGTCTGCAACAAAGCCAATACTATTATATTGTGGAAAAAAAATAGTTACTCTTTCCAAAGTTTTTTTTTTCTGTCATGTGCTATATCTTCCACTGAATCTGCCATGTTCTAAGCGATGGGATTTTTCCTTTACATAGAATCATAGAATAGAATGATGGAATCATTAAGGCTGGAAAATACCACCATTCCAACCATCCATCTGCCCATCACCACCATGTCCACTCAACCACATCCCACAGTGTCACATCTACAGATTTCTTGAACACCTCCAGGAAAATTTTTTTCTTTTCTCAAAAATTATGGTTAAGAGGAGCAAAACAGAACAAATCTACCTCCTTACTCTTTGAATATTAATTTTACAATATTTTAGTTTTGTTCTTCAGAGAATTAGGCATACACAATTTCTTTATGCCTAATACAGACTGAAGCGTCAGAATGTACTTTAAATTGCATTCCATTCAGCAAGTTGCTGAATGCAGCTTCATTGCATATTTGTGTGTGTCCACATACATTTAAATTCAGTTTGATCAAAAGCTATTTCAATTCTTTTGCTAATGATAATTGTATCCCTAAATCAGCATTAGAACTTTAATGAAGGTAGCTTAGAGAGAAAAGGCTGTGACTTTTTGTATGATTGTTCAATCAGTTAAAGTTACCCTGTACGCTTAATTCTGGCCTTCATGTTAGTGCTCCACAAATTTTTTCTTGGATCAGCTATATTATATAGCACATGCAGATCTCAATCTCAGTGCCAGCAATTGACCGTGGAAATGAAGAAAGACAATTTGTTTGGATTTCTTATAACAAATTCTGGTATTTTTTTATAATAAACCATTTTAATAGAAATTTCTGATCAGCTGATAGTGAAAATTACTAAAATACATTGTGTTAAATCAAATCTAGAAATTATTCAAATTGAGTGCACTAATAATTCCTTAGAAACATCTTCAGAAAGTGCATCTCCTTGCTCAGAGCCACAACTTGCTATTGCAGCTAGACATGCTCTTTAGACTGTTGTTAAAAAGAATAACTACTGTGAGAATCAAACACTTACCAGTGCTAGTTAAATAACATCTTCCTTCTGTCAGAATTGTGCGATTAATCAAGAGGAATAACTGAGATCAGACCATGTCTCTTCCGTAAGTTAATACATCCTCAACGGATCACAGTGTACACTTTCTTCTGTATGACATTGTAAATGGAGGTAACCATGGCTGTCCTGGTTACAATCAAATCACAGAACCATAGAACCATTACGGTTGAAGAGACTGCTAACATTGCTTAGTCCTATTGTCAGTCCATCCCCATGCCCTCTAGATTAGCAGGCAGAAGTTTCTTGTGCAGACAGATAAACTTGTGCTGCTCAAACAGCACTGCCAACACACTTTCTCTCATACTCATGACTGGCATACAGCATATCAGCAGTAGTGCAGCTACATCCACATGAACTACATTTGCACCAACAGTGTTTTGGTGTTGCACAGCACAATGCTAGCACTATGGCACAGAAGTGTTTGGGAATAACTCTGTAAATCGCTTTCAGCTATGGAATAGGTTGGTTTTCTTTTGGTCTTCTTTATAGTTTTTCCTACCACTGTTCCCACTTAAAACACAATAGCTGAATTCTGTGGCATCCTGTCATTTAGGAGCCTCTGAAAATATGAACAAAGCTTTGTAGAAGAACTCCTCTGTGATTTGCTTCACAGAAACTAACAATTTTTATTTCTTTTTCCCCAGGATCATATAATGCCTTTTAATACAAACATTACTGAGATGTGGTTCACAAAATGCTTCTGTTATGATCATTCCCATTTTGCAGAGGAACATAAACTTATATTCATCCCTCACTGGGTCACTGGCAGAGCATGTAACTGGCCTCAGGAATCCTCATGCCAAAACAGGCTAAAACAAGAATTCTCTATTAAAACACATACCTTCACTCCCCTGAAAAGCATCAGGTTCAGATAAGTCATCACAGGCCTGCAGTGAATGTGGAAACAGCCTGAGGAGAACTAAGTCATCTGCTTTCAACTGCTTTAATTAACTTGCTGCACACTGCAAGTTTTAGATACAGTAACCAATTCTCTTTCTGAAGCTGATGACTTTGCTTGATGCATTCTAGTTATCCTCCATCATTTCAGCTCAGGATTGTTTCCTACTTCCCAGGCATTTTGCTGTGGGGAAAACATTGCATGCAGAGGAGCACTGGTTAGAGTTTTACAACCCTTTATATGGAAGCACTTTGAAGTAGACATTGCTGCTCATGACAGAAAAGCAGATAAGAAACAGCAAAGGGTGAGAGCAGAACTTCCGACTACAGTTGAATGTAATGACAATTATTCTAAACTAAAATCAGACTAAACATCTATTGCAATATCATTACTACAGATCAGTATAAGCCTAGGATGAAACATTTTTAAGGAATTCATGGTTGGCTACAAGCTTCTTGGGAGGAAAGAATGCTCTGGGACAGAATCAGAATGTCAGATTTTCCAAAATATTCCTAGAGAACTGGGGTCATTATGTAAACTTGAGCAAACAATGAATGCAATACTGACACTCTGAAGATTAATTGTCTCACTGACAGCTGTGTGAGTCCTCAGATCAAAGCCAAAAGATGGAAGAAATTATCTTGTCTTCAACAGAAACTGAGAAATAGAACAGGCAAATAATATTGGCACCAAGTTCTTGAGGATTTTTTGTTTCTGTGCTTTTTCTGTTAGCAAACAATCTGCTGCCTATTATGTAAACAGACACTAAGCATGACTGGGATTACACAAAGGCTCATACAGAAAAAGGGGGTACTAAAGGGAGTGAGAAACAAACATGGAGAGGTAGCAAAAATTCCCTATTTTGATATCAAAGAACAGATATCATTCTTACTTCCCATGCCTTTTTCCTTGTTTCACCTCCTCTCCACTTCTCCAGTTGAAGAACTACTCAAGGGCAGATCCTAGAAGCCAGAGATGATGAAAGCTTGCTAAAGAGGCACCACATGTAAACACGAGGCAGCTTCTGGGGCAAGGATGGGAGCAGACATTGAAGTAGCACTCAGAGGCTTTTGGAAAGGGAAGGCAGCAGTAGTGGGTGGACAAGAAAGCGTGGATACAGAGAAAATCTCTGTTTCCAGCAGCTGCTGAGACATCATGAAGGGAAGCATAAATTAAAGATATCTCAGGCATGTTCTTATTTACAGTGGTACCACGCAATCCATTTGGCACCAAATCTATGTATTAAACACATGTATTAAATCTAAGAATGCCACATGGATCTTATGTAAACTCATTGCCAGAATTTATCTTAAATAAAAGAAGACTACTGTTTTGTACTAGTTATGAGCCATGAAATGTTCATTCTTAGCAATTGTATTAAGGCCTTTGTCCTCCGTCAGGTTGTGTTCATAAGACAGTAACATGCTAATGTGCATGTGCACTGTGAGAGGAAGCATGGTCACTGTAATGTGATTACATGATCATAGAATCATAGAATGGTTTGGTTTGGAAGTGAGGTGTAAGGTCATCTAGTTCCAGCCCCCTGCTAAAGGCAGGGATATCTCCCATTAGACCAGGTTGCTCAAAGCTCCATCCAGCCTGGCCTTGAGTGCTTCCAGGGGGGGGCATTCTTAACCTCCTTGAGAAACTTGTTCCAGTGTCTCAACACCTTGACTGTAAAGAATTTCTTCCTAACGTATAGTCTAAATCTGCCCTCTTCCAGTTTAAAACCATTTCCCCTTGTCATATGCGTAGCTGTACCCTGGGTTCACTGAGACAAATCTGCATTTCAGAGGAAGGCCTGTCCCTTTTCTGTACCAAAGTGTCTATGTTAGCATGTAAACTACAGTCTTTTTGTTAAGAGCATCACTATAATTTCATCTGTGAAGGAAAAATAAAAAGCATCATCTTTGTAATATAAAATATTTACAGATACTGTAAAACAAGATTGAGGAATACCATCCTCTGCTTCATCTGGGCTCCTGTTTTTTGTTGTTTTTTTTTTTTTAAACCCTCTAAGAAAAAATATCTGTGATTTTTAGTGTGAAACGATGTGTGTTTCCAGGAAACAATATACACTGATACTATTAAAATGACAAAAAAGATGTTCAGCTTGTACAGTTTGACATGGCATGTGTACTGTCCCTCAAGCACGATACGATTGCTTTGGTGCTTTTCCAAATAACAATACGATATGACCTTACAGAAATCACAGCAATATTGATTAGTGTTGTAACAGTATGCCTCCAAGTAAAAATAGCATAGCAGGAATCATTACCACTACTCTCAGCAGCAGTCCATAATACTAGTTGCTAGAGTTAGTTTTATGTCTGGAAATGAACTTGAACTTGCACCATATGCGCTGAAGACCCTTTGGTATTAAGTACATCTAGAAAGCATAAGACTTACGTAAAAACAAAACAAAACAAACAAACAAAAAAAAACCCCACCAACAACAAAAAAAGAGTTTCAGATGTCTGTGAAAATGGGAAGTACAAATTAACAAACAGCAGGATATATAGTCCCTCAGTTATTGCCAACAGCTGCATACAAGAAGTCGTAATGAGGGAGGCAAATCTACCTATATGGAGCTGTGGTATTTTGCTGGAAGATGCAACAGAAGTAGATTTACTGGTGAATTAGCACCTCTCATCAAGCCATTGTGAAAAGCCTGTTTCCGTCTTTTCCAACCTTAATGATTCTATGATTCTATGATTCTATTATTTCTTTATTAGGGGATGTGTTCCTTAGAAAATGCTCTCTTTGTGAGGTCAGGATGAATATGCCCAAGAAACCACTAAAAAACCTGGAGCTGAACAGTAGAGCATCTTGTCTGCATTTAGTCCAGGCAGCAGATATAATAAGACTGGGCTAGGAATGGTCTCTGTCACACTCACATGACCTCAAATCTCTAATAAGACCCAGAGCACCTGTGGATCAAACTCAGTGTCTGGCTCATGTGGCCACAAAAGGGCTGGGTCCCTGCTGTTTGAAAGCCCTGCCTAGAACCCATTCCCTGAGGGGACGGCTGGGTGTTTGGGATTAGGAGGTGTCACAGTTCTTTTCAGTGACAGTGGGCACACCTCACATTTCAAATGCTTATTTGGGTGCCAAAACTTAGATACTCAAAAATGGGAATGAGTAAATTGCGCTGCTGCCCCAAGGAAGCAAGCTCTTTGAGAGTGTGATTCTTCTGCACAAATAAGGAAAACTACAGAAGTCTGGGCAAGGTTATTTGTACTTGGAGAGTACTCTGTAGTAGAGAATCTGTCCTGTGTGCTCTGCTTTAGTATTCAGTACTCAGCAAAGACCTCTTCTTTTGCAGGCCAGGCTTTCCTCTCTCCATACAACACGACTTCATGCCTCTGCCAAAGGTTCATCTTCAGGTCATCTCAAGGGCTCCAAGGAATTTCAAGAAGACCAAGATGTCAAATACCACTGTCACAAGAAGGCAAGCAGAACACCTTCAGCAGACAGCTCAGGCCCAGAGACAAGATCAAACTCCATGCAGGAATTTGCAGAGTCCTTTGAGAAGCAATTGCATTTCAAGAGCAAACGCTCAGTTTCTTTGGTAGGTAACAACTAGCAGCAACTTTAAGAAGACTTCAGAAATAATAATAAAAAAAAAGTAAAATTAAAAAAAAAAAAATCAGGCCAGCTTTATCCCTTATATAATCTTTGTGTCTTTGCTTGGGGAGGAGCAGAAATAAGCTTGAATTAGAATTTCTTGAATGATGTGATCCTTACTGTAGTTCAAGAAATGTGAAACTGCTAATGTCATTAGTACAAGCATTTTGGATGTAGTGTTACCACCTAGACTTGTTCCAAAGTGTGTAACTTCAAAATGAGACACTGCATTCCCTGTGGCAACAAGACAATATAAAAACAGATCTGCTTCACTTTTGCTGTGATTTCCAAGTCCCTTTCTCATTGCTGTAAGACTGCCAGGCATCATGGTGTTTGGGGGATTTCTCTTTACTCCTTGGGACTTCAGCAGCCATTGCTATATTTTTACTGTAAGGGCATGCAGCCAGCCTTTTCCTATTTCATTCTTCTCCCTGTCATTGTCTTCTGAGGCATGAATCTGTGTGGTTTGCACTGAAGAAGGAGCCAATAATGACCTTTATCTATGACAATTTAACACATTTATTATAATGATACTATCGGTTGTATCACAGAGTGGAGGGAAGGGTATTGAATAGTAAATCCATTTTAAGTATTGGAGAACACTGTCAAATTCAGTCACCTCACTGAAAAGCTGTGCTTGAATAACTATGAATAATTATCATCAATAACAACAAATGGAAGTATTCTTTATTTTTTCAGTTTTTTGACACTGTCAGTTTCATACAGAGAAGTAATCTTAATCTCTCTGTGCAGACCTTCCATTTAGCAGTAAAGAGGAAACAATAAAAATCCCTTTTCAATAAATAGCATAATTACATGGTCAGTCCCACAGTTACAATCCTTGCATGCTCAGTCCTCTAGAAATATGAAGAGTTATGGTGATGACAATTCTGTTATTCAATTTTTAAGATTTTATGTGAATTCCGTAATCATCTTTTTTCCTTTTAGGAACTACTCAGTATTTATTTCATTCAGAATTTCCCATTGCCTCATTTGCCAGCCCTCACCAGTAGCTGATTGTTTATCATTTCTTAAAAGTGCCTAGTGCTAGAAAGTCTGTGAGCATGTCAGTTGTGTGATAAGTATAGTGAATATAGTACACTAAGTTTGGCTTTGGTTTCATTTTAAAAACCTCGATTCTGGAACCCTTCTGTAATTTACAAGCCCAGCATACCTTACAAGCAAGTTGTGCTGGGCTATATTTTGATCTATCTTTCAACTAGGCCAAACTGTTAAAGCTTGTAAGATGTCAAGGACTTACGAACCTTGAAGAACTGAGTGATAGATATTAGAGATCTGAAAGGAAATTTCAGAGGAAAGTACTTGTTTTCAGTGCAGTCTTTGTAACTATCAGTGAGCAACTTCAGATTTTAAAAGATGGATCACGTGAAATAAGAAAAACAAGGAGTCTAAGCTGAAATTTCAGAACCTCCTTTCTCCCTCATGTCTCTTCTCCCAAACTTGCCTTCCAGGCAGATGATCCTCCTACCACCCAAACAGTATCATCAAAAGTGTGTTGCCCTTTGCTGATTATTAGGGTTACTGGCTGGGGGCATGAGTTTGAGCCCATCATGTTAAAGCTGATCTGGCTGCCATTGGTAAATGGAGTATTTTACTATATATTACTACTGAAATATCGTTATCAGATTTTGTTGATCATGTAAGAGTCACTTAATTCTCTTCTATTTTTCTCCTGCCTTTTAGCAACCTGAAGGCATGAAGGAGAGAAGAGAGAGATTGCATCTGAGAAAGAACAAGTCTCACAAGAGAATGGGAGAGAAATCAGAGCCAGGGAGAGCACAGAAAGACGAACACTCAGAAGCTATACCCGCAAAACACAACAAACAGTTCCCATCACAAGCAAGCACTGAGAAAGAATATTGATGCACAGGCAGCTAGAATGTCTTGGGCTAATGAATTTTAGCACTATCTCTGATGAACAGAGGGAGCATTCTTGTTTTGACTAGAAGAGGCTTGTTAGCTAGAGCAAACCCAAAGCTGCAAAATGAAACTAAAATTCAACTGCATAATTGATACCATTTCACTACATTCCTGTCGTTTCTTTCTCCACTAAGTATGTGACCCTGCTCAGAGACATGGGGCAATGAACCACACCTTTAGAGGGTTTCAGGCAGATTTAGCATTGCAGCAGGACAATAGTGGATGTGTTTGTTTAAGTGGAGAACACCTATGTATTACAGAGCTGTGGAAAGTCATTCAAAGCCATATATTTCTGCTTTAATTGCAAACAGAAAGTTTGGGAAAGAAAATGTACGCATAAAATATCATCCATTACTTGGCCCTGACATAGAGTTGGTTTGGAAACAGGGATCTCTTCTCTTTGACAATCTCCCAACTCCAAATTTGTGGAGATGATAGAAAAAAAGGCCTCACACTCTCCTCCACACATTGCTGTTGTCACTGTCCATACAATAAAACTCTTTTCTCTCCCATGTCCCCAGTCTCATTTCCCAAGACTACACAACTAGTTTTTCTGCCAGCTTTTTCTCTGTTGTGGTCTTTCATCTCTCCATTTTCTATTTTGCAGCAGTGACTTGTAGCTGTAAGACTCTTGTTTCAACTCTAGTTCTGCCTCATCAAAACTTGAGCCTTGCTCAAGCCTCCAGAAAGAACAGAGATGATCAGCTTCCTGCACTTCTATATAATCTTTTCAAGGAGCTGATTATACTTCCCACAAATTCAGGGTGATGGATCCTTTTCATTTTTTCCTTTTTTTCATGAACTAAGGTCAAACAAAGGAATTGGGAAGCAGGTCTTGGGAATTTTTTTTTTCTGGCTGAGGATCTTCTAAATTCAGCTGTAAATCTCATCATTTCTAATTAAGATTTCCTTCTATGCAGAGGAATACAATTTCCATATGCTCAGAAATACAGCTTTCTGACATGTGAGTCTTTGCTTCAGAGAAAACCCCTGTCATTGGGAATAATTTCTCCAGGCCTAGTATGAAGAAAGCATGCTTTGGTAATAGAGGATAGTGAAGACTGATGGATTTATGAACCAGAGTCAAAGTCTGCTGGGTATTCTTTCTGGGATTTTCTGTAATTAACAAAGGTTTTATTACTTTACTTTAGAGCCTTAATTTTGAATGTTCAACCTTGTAAGAGCTTAGGGCATCCTCAAAACTCTGTGACACTTATCTTCATTCTGGGATTGGTTTTGTTTATGTAGGACTTTGAGGGTATAAAAGAAAGTGACTGAACCCTTGCTAATGCCTGTAAGCTGTTTCTTGCCTGGCAACATATATTATAAACTAATAAATCTGACTGAAAAAATATTTGTTCTTATGCATTGTTCCTGTCCTCCCCAGTCCAGATTGGATTTTCATTAAATTCTTCCATCAGCCAAAACTTTCATGCAGATAACTTTCCTCCTATAATCCTGATTTGTGGACTGCATTACAATAGACCTGGACAGAATCATAGAATAATTTGGGTTGGATGGGACCTTAATGACCATCCAGTTCCAACCCCCTGCCTTGGGCAGTGTTGCCACCTACTAGATGATATCAGGTAGACAGCAGCCTGCTCTCGCATCTCATGAGAGCTGAGTATCATGGCTGCACCAGTTTTGCCTGGATTTTGGAGGATCAACATCCTCCTTCTGTTTTGCAGCTAAGTAACCTCAGCAGACCCAGCAATATCCAGAATTTGCAAAAAAGTTGTATTCATGAGATTCTGATCAGCAACAGATGTAAAACAAATGCACCAGTTGTACATCATATTTGAAGGAAACACCAAAGAGAGCTGACATAGAAAGGCATGAGTACTGGCTCTGATTTGCTGTTTACTACCTTGTGAATGCACAGGCAAGCCCCCAAGGCAGCCTAGCAGGTCTGCCTTTCACCATACCTGCTCTCCCAAAGCAGCTCCCGTATTTATCACTGAATCCCCTC